ATATCGCCTTATGAAGATAAGAAGGCCTCGGAGCCACTGGTACCCCTCCGCAAGCCACCAACCGCTCCGCCCGAGTCAAATACACTGACCAAGGTCAATTCCCTACGAAAGACCGACCGTCCCGCAGTTCATGGACTTGGGGCTGCCCTCGCTGGTATGGGCAGAATTACCGGTGCCATCGGAACCCCGTCGCCGTCGGTGCCTCAAAGTCCCGGATTCAATAGTCCTAATGCCAACATCACTACGCCGGGTAAGATTATGGACTTTCTTCCTTTGATCTCTTTCTCCCCCTCTTTATTTACTATTTGTATATGCCTACTGACAAAAAGCAGTATTAGATGAACCAAGAAGTGCCTCATCGCGGTTCCCTCCCGGGTCGAACGGTCAGAGCACTCCAACCTCTCACGTCAATCAGTCTCCTGCGAAATCCGAGGCAACTCCGGTTGAAAGAACCAGGCCAAATGCGGAATCACGCAAGTCATACGGACCTGAGTTTGATTTCGAAGAAACACAGGTCTCTTTCCAGCGTTCACCGGTACCACAAGACGACTCGGAGGATGATTCAGATGATGGTCTTTTCGCGATCCCGTTGGTAAACAGCAAGACTCCGGTGAAGGAGAAAGGTCCTATGTTTGGATCTCCGGAGCCGAAGAGATCTGAGAAACCGTCACTCACGCTAAACACGGGACCGAGGTTGAAGAAGGAATTGTCCGTGCGATTCAGATCGCCCAGTACCAGCCGCGAAACCTTTGCCGGGAGTGCGGACAGAAGCAACCGGAAAACATCCTTCTCCGACATGACCGGTTCTCCCGAAGAAAAGAAGCCTCCGCCTCGAAGGGACTCATTTGTTCGTGGAAACAACTGGGCAAGCCGACCTCCCGTGGAGGGCGTCATTGAATATCTGGACGAGTTCTTCCCCAACATCGATCTCGATGCTCCTTACCTTGACAACCACGGCGCCTCTCCCCCCTCGTCACCGGCGAGTAGAATCTCAGCCGAGCACGAGGCACCTCATAAAGAAAGACACGAGGGACCAACATACACGCCACTCCCGCCGCCACCAAGTGCTGACGAGAACACCATCGGACCCAGCGAGCCGACGATGAAGGCTCACGATGCCGGCATCATCGCTCGGCGTAACGTTAATCGCTCCGGCGGTCTCACTCGAGGAAAGTCCATCCGAGAGGTGGCGCGCGGTGCTAACCAAGCCAGCCGGAATCGCAGTGTTCATGCGTCGAGCGGGAGCCAAAAGTCAGGCGATATCCTGCGTCGCAAGAGCACGAAAATGTTCGGCGCGAAGATCATGCAGATCAGTCCCAAGCCCGGAAGTCGTCTCAGCCAGCTTGATCCTATCCCGCAGAACAACGTTAGCGCCGGCAATATCCCCCAGCGGCAGCCGACATTCCGTATTATTCGCGGTCAGCTCATTGGAAAAGGCACTTACGGCCGAGTGTACCTCGGCATGAACGCCGACAATGGTGAGGTCCTGGCGGTCAAGCAGGTGGAAATCAATCCCCGGATCGCGGGTCAAGATAAGGATCGGATCAAGGAGATGGTGGCGGCCATGGACCAGGAGATCGACACGATGCAGCACCTCGAGCATCCCAATATCGTGCAGTATCTTGGATGCGAGCGCGGAGAGTTCTCCATTTCTATCTATCTGGAGTATATTTCTGGTGGTTCCATCGGCAGTTGTCTGCGCAAGCACGGCAAGTTCGAGGAGAGCGTGGTCAAGTCGCTCACGCGGCAAACGCTGAGCGGGCTGGCGTATCTGCATGATCAGGGTATCCTGCATCGCGATCTCAAGGCCGACAACATCCTGTTGGATCTCGACGGCACGTGCAAGATCTCGGACTTTGGTATTTCCAAGAAGACGGACAACATCTACGGGAATGACTCGACCAACTCGATGCAGGGGTCGGTCTTCTGGATGGCCCCGGAGGTGATCCATTCGCAGGGTCAAGGGTACAGCGCCAAGGTGGACATCTGGTCCCTCGGGTGCGTGGTGCTCGAGATGTTTGCCGGTCGTCGGCCGTGGAGTCGAGAGGAGGCGATCGGGGCTATCTTTAAGCTGGGCAGTCTGAGTCAGGCGCCGCCCATTCCGGAGGACGTGTCCATGAACATCAGTCCGGCCGCGCTGGCCTTTATGTATGACTGTTTTACGGTGTAAGTTGTTATTTCCCATGACGGATCAATATATTACTAATGCGGAATGCGTTGCAGGGATTCATTGGACCGGCCCACGGCGGAGACCTTGCTCACGCGACATCCTTTCTGCGAGCCCGATCCGAAGTATAATTTCTTGAATAGTGAGTTGTATGCGAAGATTGGTGAGGATTCATAGGGGGGGGGGGGATGGTGGTGGTGGTGCTTGTAGACGGGAGGATGCGTCTACGTGTATATAGTGAGGTGATACTCTATGGGAGAGATAGCTCCAGCTCAGCTATAGTTCAGCTTCAAGGTATAGCTCAGCTACGTAGTATAGCAGAAGGTGGTGACGCCAATACCCTAAGCCCTAGACGCCCCACGGCCAATCAGGCTGCCTAAACCGGGCTTCGCTTAGCAACAGCACGCACCTTACCCGATCGGGGCGATGCAACCACAAACGTCGACTCCATCGCGGCACCGTCACCCCCTTCCTCATCTCCATCTCCATCCCATCCCATCCCCCCAGATCATCCAGGATAGGCCGGATACCTACGCCGTCTAGGTTTCTGCCTCACTAGTCGCTTGCGCCCTCCGCCGCCCGACCGAATTGCCGCGATAACAGACAGCCTTCCCCCGGAAGGCCCCCAGAAACCCAGGCGTCATGTCGACGGACGTCCGGTCCAAGGTATGTGCCACCGAGAAGATTTCAACTCTGCCTTTTCCACTCTGCGCCGACCGCGTTGATCTCCCGGCTCCCTTGGTCTGTCCGTTTTCCGTCTGCGAATGACAAGAATCAATTGGACGAAAGAGGGAGGGGGGTTGAACTCGGTCGACCTGGGACGATCTTTGTGATTTTGGACGATTTTCGCGAGCAAAAACCCGCCCGGGTGGATGAGACAAAGAATCGAGAGAGAAGTCCGAGGATCAAGAAACACGAGGAAGATGCAGAACACGAAAGAAAGAGAACAAAGCAAATGCTGACGGATGTTTCATTTCCAATAGAACCTCTACGAGCTTCTTGGTAATTTGATACCCTTCCCTTCCCCTCCCCTCCCCTCCTCCCCCCCCTCATTGGGTCTCAGCCCGGCACCTGGTTGCACCCGACCACCTCACCTCATCAATTACATCATCATCATCGTCTCTTCTCTAACCTAACCGTTCTTTTTTTTTTCGTTCGCGATTAGGCAATGACCCTGAACTTGACCCCAACAGAGAGCCTGCTCCTCCCACGAAAGCTCTAGACAAGCCCGTTAACCGTTCCGGCAAGCGGGACGCCCCCAAGGAGGCCCCCGTCCAGGCTCGCGAGTCTGCTCCCCGCCGTGGAGGTCGCCCTACTGGCAACGAGGCCGGTATGTTGTCTCCCACCCTGATTGTTCTGCGACTGGGATCTGGTGTCTGACGTCTTCCCGTAGCTTTCCGTGACCGCAACGCCGGCCGCACCAACAACCGCGAGAAGCCCACCGAGGATGGCAGCCAGCCCCAACGGCGCGAGGGCCGCGGTGGCCGTGGTGGCCGCAGCGACCGCCAGTCCCGCACTGGTCAGACGTAAGTAGCATCGATTCGAACTCTTGGTGTCTTTTGGGGTTTCTCGGTCTAACTATGGCATGTGATTTCTACAGTGACACCCGCAAGCAGGTGAACCAGGGCTGGGGTGGCCAGAGCGGTGACAAGGAATGGGCTGACGAGAAGGCCGCCGAGGCCATCGCCCACAAGGACGAGGCCGAGCCCCAGACTCCTGGCGAGGAGGCCCAGGAGGCTGACAAGTCCAAGTCGTACAACGACTACCTGGCCGAGAAGGCTGCCCAGGGTGACCTGAGCGCTAAGCCCGTCCGCGCCGCCAACGAGGGCACCAAGGCCGACAAGAAGTGGAACGAGGCCAAGGAGCTCAAGCGTGGCGAGGAAGAGGAGAACTACTTCAAGGGCAAGGAGGAGAAGGGCAAGCGCGAGAAGCAGCGCAAGGAGAAGAACTTCCTTGACGTTGACCTGCGCTTCGTCGAGGCTCCCCGTGGCGGCGGTGCTCCCCGTGGCGGTCGTGGCGGCCGTGGTGGTCGCGGTGCCCGTGGCGGTCGTGGCAACGGCCCCCGTGGTGGTGACCGTCCCGCCGGTGCTGCTGCCCCCACCGTCTCCGTCGACGAGAAGAACTTCCCCTCTCTGGGCAAATAAATCCGGTTTTCTTCCAACCGTTGTCTCCGTTCGGGGGATGTCCACAGTTTCGTGAAAGTCTTTTCAAGGAACATTCCAACAGGGTTCAGCCTCAACAAACAATCTCACAACCCCCCACATAACCACCCAAAAGGAGAACAAAAAAAAGTAAAAACGATCGGAGAGAAACCACTTTGCGATATTGCCTTTTTCCTGGTAAAATGACGCGATATGGATGGCAAGGAAATGGAAACGTGATGAAATGATTCGATCCCCTCGCGTTTAGGTTTTAAAATGGCCCTGTAATTTGATTTGAATGTCAAAAAATAGGAATGTGAATTTCAAATCACACCGTGTCTCTTGTAGAAGTGTAGATGTTTCTTGTAGGATCTGGACCTTGTAGCTAGATTATCGGTCCTTCGATGTCAAGGGATGAAGTCGAAGTCATCTTTGTCATGACTTAGTGATATCAAGGTGGGTTGAAACTTGAAATAGACTTCTTCAAGGTAAGCTCTAAAAAATTACTGGTCCGTTTTCCAACATTGATCGTTGTATATTTCAGGCTATATAGTGTAGATAACTGAGTCCACAGGGACCATAAAACCAATCATTCCATCACTCAAATCCTAGCAGATAGATCGGTTGTCGTTTCCAGCCGACCAAAACTTTGTTTCTTATAAGTGAATCGCACTATGAGAGAGAGAAGAACATCACAGGTCTTCCCTCTCAGACCCAAATCCATACCCAGGATCCTGCAACTGACTAACAGCCATCTCAGCAGCGACAGTCCACTCAGCTAGGGTCTCCTCCGCGAACGCCTCATCATGACCCTTATCCAAAAAGGCCAGACCATCCATCGCCTTACCGCCACAGGCACGCTGAAGGGCCAAGAAGGCAAAATGGCCGCCGATCACGGGGCGCGCGAAGAAGTTCGGCCCAGGGAACCCGCCCTGGCCCTCTGTGTTGTGGAGGTCCGTGAAGGGCCGGTCGGTGACCGTCTCGTTGATCCATTTGGCGACGGACTCGAGGATCTCGCTGCGCACGGGCTTGCTGGCCACAGCCATCGAGAAGAACTCCCAGTCTGTCTTCGTGTACAGGTGGCGGCTGTCTAGGGGGAGGCCGTATTTCTGGCGGACGTTGTGGTACCAGATGGATTGGCGCTGGTAGATGTGGCGGGGGATGAAGCCGGTCTTTTTCGAGGTGGTGGATTGGGCGTGGGGTGTGATGCCGGTGCCGTCGAGGTGGAAGCAGAGCTGTGCGTCCGCGTAGAGGTTGTAGATCGTTGTCCACGAGCCGTACCAGTCATAGGCCAGTTTGGCATGCGTTTGGTCTCGCGACATGCCGTATTCCTCCCATTTGGCGACGTAGGTATCCGAGATGTTCTGGACAATATCGATCAGCGAGATATAGTAAGTTTTGTGTGCATCGGTTGACAAACCTTGTAGTAAGAGGCATCGGAGTCGTATCCAGCGATTTCGGCCAGCTTGCTCATGGCATTGATACCGACTATACCCTTCAGCGCCAAGTTCGTCTGGAGCGCGAGCCAGCCAGCAAAATCGTCCGTGGAGACTAATCGAAATCAATATCGCGCTACTTAGTAGATATGGATATGCTTACGCTGGTTTTCAGGCTCCAAGGCAAATTCGACCAGATAGCCAGTCCACTGTTTCCAGAGTCGGTAGCTGCGCTGAATCCACTTTTTCGCTAGCTGGTCGCCTTCAGAACTACCGCCCCATTTACCGTCTTGCTTCTCAATTCCACCGATCCCCTGCAGACTAGAGAGGGAGAAGTACCCTGGTGTCTCATCCCGAATCTGGGAAGATACACCTTGGGTTGACCAGACAGAAGAGGCGGCTGAATCATGGTCGTAACGCAGGGAGTTTGCAATTGCCAGCCCCATGATGAGGATATTTCCACATTCTTCCACAGGCATATATTCGTCTTTGCCGTCGGCGTGACCCGTAGCATTGGGGAAATGTGTTCCCAGGTCGTGCATAGCATAGGAATTCGGGTACTGCCCGCTCAGCATATGCTCGATCAAGGGTTCCAAGAGATAGGCCAGCCAGCGGGGGTTGGTATACAAGAAGAAGGGGAACGCAGGGAAGATAACATCAATGGTCTGGAAGTTGCCGTTGGAAGAGATCTCCTTCAGGAACAAGATCGGGTCGTCTGGGGTGCCGGAGAAAGTTGTAGCTCCCATGACCTGTCGTGCTGAAAGCGCGACGATGTCCACATAGTCGTCTGCACCGGACTGGTAGGCATCTTCGGCCAACTGTTCAGAATAGTTGGAGGCCAAGGCCGCCGCATCGGCAAAATCATGGTAGTGGAAGCTCAGCAGTGACTCAACGCTATGGAACCATGATTCCCAGAGAGGTCGCATCAGGGTCAATCCGCGGGACGAGGCATACTGGACCACCGGATCCTGGATTAGGGCAATGGTAAAGGTCACGCTATCGCCGGTCTTGCGAGAGGAGTTGAACGATTTTGAGAAGGCCACCACGGGATCACGGTCTCCAATCGCGCGGAACGCATCATCATGTTTATTACGCAGGGCTCCGCTAGAGGCGAAAGCTCGTCGCACGTCCGCGGAGTCTCCGGATTCGTATTCGACATTCTAGGAGAGTTAGTCGCAAGCTGCACAGCATATCAGGGCAAACACGCACCGAAGGACCAGTGAAATGAAGAGTACCCCATTCCGCCCGATCATGAATCTCTGACAAGAGTAATTCTGACTCTCGTCGCAATTGCCATCGCTGCAGGGTTGGCTTGTTGCTCTCGGAGCCTAGTCCATCGTGTTGCCAATTGATTTGACTTCCAGCGTCCCCGCTAACCCACCGACCATTGACATCCATGTATATATTGACTGCCACATCGCCATGAACGTAGACTGTCACGTACGAGGCGGGGATCGACTGCCGTAGAGTTGACGTGGGTGTGATGGGAGACAGGAACGAAACCGTGATTTCCAAGGGAGAAGAGGCAGAGGCAGAAGAAGACGAGTTTAACCGATAGGTCAAGTTAGTCGTCGACGCGTCATAATTAGAGCCGAGATAGGTCGGATACTCGACCGCGGGTGAGCTGAATAGCGAGGCTCTGGTTAGACAAGCTAGCAAACGGATTGCCAACGGCACTCTACATACCCGGAATCCGACGAGAGAGAATCATGCGGCTTGCCCAATAGCGGAAAGACGGTGCCCGTACTGGGGATCTGAGCCATCAGGGAGAAGCCTATCTCCTCTCCAGTATAAAAGATAGGCCATTTTGACCACGGTTCATCGCGGGCATCCCCCAGCCAAGTGCTGAGGTAGGGATTGCGCACAATCAAGGGTAGAACCGGAGGAGTGAGAGTCGAGGCTGTAGCGACAGTGGCCTGCAGAGCAGTAACCAACACCGCAAGGGATCGCATTGTGAGACAAGTTCAAGTCACAACCAGTGCAACTGGGTAGGGACAGAGACTGGGGGGTGAAAGATGAAGTTGAAGGATTCCGGGGATCCCTGGCTGCCTGATTGACAGGGCCGGGGTAACCTGATGATGCAATGGGGCTTCCTGGGCAGTTTGATGGGGCAATGATCGACCACAGCCACTCCGAGTCAATTTGTATGGAGACCAGGGCGGAAGAAAGCAGTGAAACCAGAAACTGGCGAAAGAAGGGCGATTATCTGACCAACATGCAGGAATGGAGCAGCTTTATAGGAATGCATGGGAGGATCGACGGGGACATGCATGCGGGGAAAGCTTCTGGTTCGATGGTTCATGACGGAGTGTGGATGCCAGCAATCCGGACAATGGAGTGACAGGTCCATTGTGACAGATGGTGATGGAGACCGGGAGAAGGAAAGCAGAGGCATTCTACGGAGTACATCTGGAGTTGAGCTTCCTCAGGCCGCCATGGTGAACGGGGTAATTGACACCTGAGGGCCTCTACACAGACACCTCGACACCTGGGGCAGACACAATCGGCAAACCAAACAAACCGTGCACGGACGCCCCCGTACGGTACGGTACGGCTGACCTAAGCGGCGATAGCGCGACCAATCGAGCGCGCAGTGTCCCACGCGAGGCGAGGCGAGGCGTACCTCCAGTAAATACTTCCATCGCTTCGGTGCCTCCTCTTCTCTCGTCCATTGCTCGTCTCCTCCCTCTCTCTTGCTCACGAGCTCTGCTTCTCTTGGTCCCTCGGGATCCTCTCCGGTCTACATTTCCTGCAATCCCCCTTATCTGTTCGCCGAGAAACACGCGAACTATAGCATCGTCTCCGTCTCTCTTCTATACAACACGCCCAACCTTCTCTCCCCTCCTCTTCCTCTCGCTCTTCCTCTCGCACTTCCTCTTCTCTCCATCTCTACCTATTATATTCCACTTCCTCCGCAATGAACTCTACCACTTTGCACTCGAGCCCCGTCAAGGATGGTAGACGCATTCTCGGTGAAAAGACCGTCAACGCGTGTCTGTCCCCTCATCGACATGTCTCGCCTATTAAACACTCGTTTCTCGATATCTCCTCACCCAAGAAGCAATTGCTCCCTTCGCCGTCTTTTGCTGGTCAAAAACGCTCCATTGACCAAGTGGATCACGGGGTGTCTGCAAACAAAGACTCGCTACGCGTTCGCGACGAAGCTGTCACGGTCCAGGCGATTGGTCGGGTAAGAGTTCAGATTACCAGTGCAGGCGTCGAGGCATGAAGTGCTGACTTGGGGTTTCTTTTTTTCGTGGCAGCCATCACCCTCTCCTCGAGAACACCCCACGACATCGTATGTACAGGCACCCGCGACTGAACCCCGAGAGACCAACCCAGAGCCCACCAAGTCACAAACACACGAGCAAACCAAACCAACGCTAGAACCCGAATCAAGCAAACCCTCTCAGGAAGAATCACGATCAACAACGCGTCCGGTGCCTGAGGACCCCGAGACGCGAAAGTTGTTTATCCAACAGGTAAGATGGAGCCGTGACAAAAGATTATGAAACAATAACAAAAAGTCAAGAAAACTCACAAAATCAACCCCCGCTCTAGAAAGCCAGCCTTCTCCGAAACCGAATTCAAAGCGCCATGCGCAATGTTCGAGACCCTCAATTCGACCGCCGACTCTCCGAGCTGGAAGCCCACAGCCGCAAATTACCCCGATTGTCGTTACCCGAAGCCTCCACCCGGAGTCCACTCGTCAAAGAGGACCCCGCCGCCAGCTCCAGCTCCCCGTCTTCTACTCCTCGAGCCCTTCCGCCCTCCCAGGTGCTCAACCACTCCTCCGAGACTACGGCCCCTCCTCCCTCATCGGGCCTCTCGTCTCCGCCCCTGTCGGCGGGGAACGCTCACGCCCAGGATGACCCCATGAAAACGCCGACGCAGAAGACCCACCGTCGCGCAGATACCGCGGGATCCCCGATGCAGCTGAGCAGTCCTCCCGCGAGCGCCTCACGGGGCGGAAGAGCCATGCGGACCCCGACAGCAGCAGAGTCGAGTCAGCAAGAGGATGCCGCACGAGAGCAACGGTTCGTCACGCCAGCTCAAAGAGGAGACGCCGTGGACGGACTTCTGAAGCTCATGAGCACGGGGGAGAAACGCGATGTTTCAAGCCCTTGGGCGGGCTCTGTGAATTCCGGCTAACAATGAGAATACGCTCAATTTTTGATTTGGACTTAAAATATCTTTTTCCGGGTTCAGTCGGGAAGAGATCAGAAGAGAAGGAAATTGGTCTTGCATTGCAGATAGAGGAAACAAAAACACTCAACGAAAAAAAGGAAGATAACAAACAGAGGAAAGGAGACCTTTCATCACGACCATATTAGACAGATTCTTTGCATGGACTTTCTTAATACCTGGATACAACATCTGTTGCCCTGGGAGAGCAATGAGCGAAAGTCACAGTCACATTGATACCACGTGCGGGTTTGGTGCATTTTTTTTTGGTGGTCTTTTCTTGGCTTTTTTGTGTATAGTACATATTTACTTAGATGTCTTGATATCATGTTCAAAAAAGCAGGAGCCAATGAAAAAAAAAAAAAAGTCATGGAATAAAGTTCCTTCTATTGATTGAGAAATGGGGAGTTTTCTTCAATCCATTCATCACATTTAAATCTAAATCGCTAGACAGAAACTTCCCTGATATATGTACAAAATTCCTTGACTTTTAATTGTTTCTTCCTCCATGGAATAAAAAAAGAGCATGAGAGCGTAACGAGGCGAGGCAGATAGATCAATCACCGCACCTTCTTCAGCTTGTTTCTCTTCCGTCCCAACACGTCCCGACCTTCCTCGATCTCCCCAGATGCCTCTCGCTTCGCCTGTCCGACTTCCTTGAGCGCGCCGGTGCGCACCACCCGTCCTTCCACGCTGACTCCCTCCTCCGACCACTCCTCCATCTGGCGGCCCACGCGCTCCTCGATCGCCAGCACAAGCTGCACGTCACGCTGTCCGACCAACGTCACCGCCTCACCATGTCGACCCGCACGCGCCGTTCGACCCACACGGTGCACGTAGTCGTCCGGGTTCCGCGGCACGTCGAAGTTCACGACCAAACTGACGGACGGGATATCGAGACCACGGGACGCAACGTCAGTGGCAACGAGTAGCCGGGCCGCGGAGGCGCGGAAGCGCGCCAGGTTAGCGTTTCGCTCCGACTGCGGCAGCAGACTGTGCAGGGAGGTGACGCGGTGGGAGAGCCGGCGGAGCATGCGCTCCAGCAGGTCGGCGGTCTTGGTGTGGTTGCAGAAAATGATGGCGGGCTTGGAGGCGTTGGCCTCGGTGGAGAGGAGCACGTGCAGGAAGGCTTCACGATGCGTCATGGGCACTTTGAGGTAGGTCTGGCGTAGGGTCGGCGGGATGGTGTCCTTGTTCTCGGTGCCGATCTCGGTCACGAAGATGGGTGGTTTGCCCGGGGCTCGGGGCATGTCCTTCAGGGCACGCACCTCAGGCGTCACGGTCGCGGTGAAGAGGAGCGTCTGGCGCTCGCTGGAGGCTGGCAGCGCTGAGAGACAGGTGCCGACGTCTGGGAGCATGCTGCCGGCGCCCGGGGCGAGGAGACGATCAGCCTCGTCCAGAACGACCATGCGCACGCGCTTGAGGCCGCGGACGGTGTCCTCGCCGGATGTGTTGATGTGGTCGGCCAGACGGCCGGGGGTCGCAATGACCACATGCGGTCGTTGGGATAGCGCGATGGCCTGGGGTCGCATGTCGGTGCCTCCGGTGATGAGCACGGGTTTCATGCTCTGCGGCGCCGAGATGGCTTTGATCTGTTCGAAAATCTGCAACGCAAGTTCTCTGTACCACCAGAATCCATCAGCATTCAATCCTTCCTCTAACCAGCCATTTCCCCGTCCCCAATCCCAGGACCAATAGAACATAATCTAACATACCTCGTCGGCGTCAAGATAACCGCAAAGATGCCAAACGGATCCTCCGCCCACTTCTGCAAAATCGGCACCGCGAACGCCGCCGTCTTACCCGAACCCGTACGACTACCTCCAATACAGTCCCTCCCATTCAGAATCTCCGGAATACAAGCCTTCTGAATAGCCGTGGGCTTCCTAATCGCCATGGTAGTCAACGAGCCAACCAACCACGGCGCCACCTTGAGAGCCTTAAACGACGACTCGGCATCCTGCAGACCAATCTCTATGGCATCGCGGATCAACACCGGATTAACATCCTGAGAACCCGACGCGGCTTTTTCCTCGTCGGCGGTTCCCTTCTTCTTGATACGCGATAGCGTGGGGAGCGGCGCCGGCGCAGCAACGAACGAGTCGGTGGACGACTCGGAGAGACGACGGCGTTTGGGGGCGCGGGTCTGCAGGTCGGTCTCCTGCTGCTCTGTTTCGGATTCGGATCCGGATCCGGACTCAGAGGCGCTGGAGGCCTGATGAATCTCCTCGTCTGAGACGGGCGAGGAAGAGCGAGATGAAGCCATGCTTGTCTTGTTGATTTGGTCCTGTCTCATTTTCTCTTCCTTTTTTTTCTTGGAAAATCTTCTAATTTGGCGGCAGAAATGTTCACCGCGTGGAAGGCGGTCGAGCACGTGAGCGGTGGGGATAGGGCTAGCCGAATGCGGTAATTGGATCTATGGTATTGGTGCGTTGTACAGACCTTCAACTTTCACTTGTTGATGCTCGAACAGGTTGAGGGAGAGGAATTTTTACTTTGATAGGTTGAGGAACAAAGCAGCCTGTCTGGTAATCCCAGGTTAATGAACACTCGCCTCGATGAGTCAGTCGCCCTTAGAATGAACGCAGACCTGACAACGCAACTTAACGTAAATAGATCTTGCAATTCCAAGTGAATATCAAACATCAGACATTGTTAGAAGAGCCAGCATCAGGGGATAAATCTTATTCGTATGTACGTCTACGGTGTAGATGATATTCAGCGACTGTAGAGACGCTAATATACAAGGCGCATCCTGCCCGGAGGCCTCGGGACCCGGGACGATCAGATAAACCCCAAGGGCCCAGTGTAACCGAAGTTTACGATGCTTCCTTTCAAATAGTGTATATTTTCGAATGTGATAGATTCTATTTAAGGAATCGTGAGTCTCTTAACGATCTCGAGAGAAGATAGACGTCTCATCAACCTGGACTAGAGTCTTTCCGGTCAGGATATGGATTGGTGCATTGCGATACAAATCTCACACACCAACTACAGTGCCTTCATCATATCGAAAACAAGTCGATTCTTCACAGACCAGTCCTACCCAGTCATTTAAAGCACCCGCCCATCAAACGGAATATACGGCTCCACAAAAGAGGCCATCGCCCCAGCACCAATCCCCAGATCAAACTCTCCCATAACCGTATCCCAGTCCTGCGGAGCCATTATGTGCTCATACAGTGGCGCTGCCGAGCTATCAAGCGGTTCCGAAAAGCTTCCTACAGGCGGGTTTCCAAATACCTGAGTCACAGCCACAGGGGCGGATGCCGGGGCAGCGGAAATGGCTGCCTGTCGGGTGACTGAGAAGCTAGCCACCTGATAGAATGACCTGCAGACATCAAAAAGCTTTTTTCCAGATGGAGAGCTGGTAGCCATTGGCTCTATGGCTCGTACGGTGGCGGATAGGAGCGCCAGGTCCTCGGGGGATAAGCAGGCGATGGTGTTTCCTGCTAGCACCACAAAACAGGTAAATGGGACGAGAGAAAAGAGCCTGCTGAGGGTTAGACTGAGTACCTAGAGAGGTGGCGTCGGAAGGGGGACCTACAGGTTCAGAAACATGTTCCAGCCCAGGGGATTACGTTGACCTAGCGTCTGACTTGCCTGCACAATCGTAGAGAGGGCTTGCCGTGCCGCTTCGATACAGCCAGTGTGGCACTGGAGTGGGTGAGGCTTGGGCTCACCACAGGGGACGATGCGATATACGATTGTCACGAGGCAGTGCATGATGATGTCGAAAAGCACGCTTGCATCTTGGAACCTGGCGTCCGCAGGGGGCTCATCTCGGAGAGTCTGTGATTGCGATGCTTAGTGAGACTGCCAAATCTACAGGAAAATCTGCTATACGCACCTGCTTCAAGCTATTGTTAACTTGGAAGAGCCTGGAAGCAAAGGCTTTGGCATTCTCAACGCGGACTTGTGGTGACGTTCGCTGAGCAGATGCGGAGAAAAGCTGTATGTGCATGTCGCCCACAATGACAGCGAATTCGACAAACCCACCGTACAGGCTATGACAGAGTCAGACTAGCATGATTTAGAAGGATACTGTCACTTACTATCCCGGCGGCCCTGGTATGTCCAGGGGAAACGACGTCCGCTCGGTCGCGACATCGTACTGATGAATCGAAGGAGTTCTGCCCAGCGTGAAGGCCATGCCTTTGTCGATGACATATACCCACCAGAATATTCTCCGTTTCTTGGACAGTTCCGGTCCCTTTGGATGCTTAGACAGGCGATGCCAGCCAAGATCAATGCACATCCTGGAAGCAGCCGCGATCAACGACCAGGCTAATGCACTCCGTCCCGATTTCATACAAAATGCCGTCTCTCTAACTTAGTATCACAGTAAACAAAGACACATCACTGCTTACCAGAAGTGCTAAGGCCTGGCATCCTTCCATCGATGGCTCATGACAGAGTCTAAATGAATGTATACCAGCTTCTATGTTGACTGACAACAGCCGAGTATATGCTTGTATGTCAGCGAGCGTTATGCCGACCTGGGAGCGTTCATGTTCCTCGAGGCCAAGGAATAAGTAATATAAACCGGTATTAACGGTGGTCCATGTCGACAGCGAGTAGTCGTTGATCGCAAAATAAACCTTCTGGCATAGTTCAGCAAATTCCGCCTCATCTATGACCGGAGTATCGATAAAAAAGCGCTGCTTCTCGGTATGTATCAGTCGGAGTAGCTTGAGCACAGGTTCAAGTGGTGGCAGTGGTCTGCCTTCTAGTTCCGGATACTGGACTTTGAACGAGGGTGAATTGACGTTTTCCTCGCTAGAAGTGGTTTCCTCGCTGTCAGCCACCTCTTTAATTAATTGCGTAGCAGTCATGGCCGTAGCGAAGCTTTGGTCGGTTAGACTGGAATCCACATTCGCGGTAGCGTCCCTTAAGGCTTCTGTCACCCGTTGGACGTGCGCTTTGAAGGAGGAATCGCCCCTGTACCCTTCCGAGGGTCCAGATGCATTTGATACATAGTTAGCGGTGAACAAGGCAGGAGAGCTATTTGGAAAGCCCTTGGTCTGCTCGCTATTCCGAAGGAGCTTTTGCAGTCCCTCCGATACTTCCTGAAGCGAGCGATTCACGTTCTCCATAGCTTCATCGTAGCGAGCAGATATCAGAACTCGCTGTCGCCTCTCGGGGACCCGACGAGAGATCCGACAATCAAGCGCCGCGGCGATGCAGCTAGAGCAGGGGGATCGGCGGTCGCATTTAGTCTGTTGGTGCCATGGTCAGCATATAGTCCTGAGATAACTGGGATCTCGGCATCGAGACATTGATGATTTTACCTTTCTATCTTTGCAATTATCACACTTTGAGCGATATCAGCCCCATGGTTCGCGATTTTTATCAACATAGTACGTCTGTAACTCACAGCGGGCTTCTTATTACTCCCATCGTTGTTGGCCTCCATGGTTAGGTAGAGAGACCTTCGGCTACACAGGCCGAGCCATGATTTTGTGCTATTCACGCCAGAACAGTTGGTTTTCTGCAATGATTTCTGCCAAGCGCAACAAAACCGCAAAGAGCAGGGAGTGGTCTTCCGATGCTTGTATCGGAGATCAGATAGACTAATCAAATGGGGGCCCAACAGCATAGCCTACGCTTAGATCACATGACATAAGCCTAAGAGGACAGGAAGACTGTTAGTGTCATCGATGAGGAGGGTTGGTGTTAATTCATCCGAGGTATGGTAATTACATATATACGATCAGTGAAGAAAGTCCTCGAAAATGATAAAACAAAAACGCAAACAAAATTTTAAGACATCTGATTCGAACGTGTCATTGTCAGCCAAAGCCAATATCTAATAAGGTCATGTATATGAGAGAAACTTTTCGTATCCAAGAAGACCCAAGGCGCCGCTGAGAAAGGCACCTGCGCCATGCAAACTGCTGAGATCTAGAAACTCATTCAGCTCTGCTCGTTGTGCTGCGTCTGCGAACCGAAGATCTAGTCTGTAGCTCATAGGCCTCGCCGCGCTCCAGGTCGTCACCGACCGGCGATTCAGAAGATGAATTCATATCACCACGCATCATGACCGCGCTATCGCCGTCTGCTTTGCGATTGTGTTGGTTATGATCGTCCCTTCCGGTGACTAAGCCCACAGGCGCAGCACCATCGTCTATCCCATGAGTACCCCCGACACTCTCCATGGTGAACGGACTTGCCGTGGGTCCATCCAATGCGGAGAGCTCTTCCCGAGTAAACCATCGCGGTAGGAGGAAGGCACGCACAGGGATCAGGAGTAGAATAATAACGGGAAACCCGATGGCAGCAATCGTCTGAGTGATGGCAAAGGTACCACCGAAACCAATAAGCTCCAGGATGACAAAGGCCCAGATAGCAGTACGACGCTCGAGCCTCTTTAAGGGGTTAGACCCCGAGGTGAAGTCTTTGTCTTGAGCCAGGAAGATGAGCTTTTGTGTGATCCCGTTTCCTTGGAGGGCTTGAACGCCCATGATGAAGAACAGCCCGGCCATAACACCTTGCGGGATCAGGTGCAGAACGATGAGAAGGGGTCCGCTCATGGTGCCGAGGGTCAAAAGGCCTTGGGCGAAATTACTGACTCGCTGTTCGACGACATGATCGGTGATGCGCACGGCCTTGCCCTTGTTGGTGTCGTCCTCATCCGCGACGTCTCGCGTCACGCAAAGAGCAGCCGTATGGAAAGGCGCTTGGGGAATCAGCCCGTTGGGGAATGGAATACCCAACAAGCCGGCGACGAAAGTGGTCAGCCCCAGCAGCCACAAGTCCCAGTGGAAACCAGCAGGTTTCCGAAGAGGAAACTCGGTTCCTTGGGCAATCAGGGACGATACTATAGCGATTAGCTTCAAATCTCGACCAGAATGATTCAATGCTTACTTACCGTTGTGATCAAAATAGAAAAGGATAGTAAGCAGCAGCGCGAATGGGATCGCAAGGAAAATATCGCCAACGCTGATGTCCCAGAAGTGCACCAGCCATCCACGATCTGCCGTTGGGAAAAACGCTTTGCTGGTTGGCAGCGTTGCAACGTCGACACTTCGCATATGACCGATGTGAACGAATCCAGTGAAAAATATAATGGTCAACGGGGTACCATAGTCTTCCAGGAACTTCCGTACGTATCGTTGGAAAAGACTGCTATTCCCAAGCTCGCCACAGATCCATCCACTCATGAGAACCAGCAATGCGACCATGATGCTCAGGTAGGCAGATGTCTCCCCCACGGCGCCCCATTGCCTCGTCAGGACCTGGATCCCTTTCTGAAGGTAGATAAAGGCGACGTAGAATCCAAAAATGTCGCAGGAAAACCGGGTGACGTAGGTCAATCCATTGCAAGCATTGGTGATAGCAAGGATCCAATGCATGATCAGAGACCAACTGCGTATTGTCAGCATCCATCAGCCAATTCAAAAATCACAGGCACAACTCACATTCCAATCCAACACATAAACGCAAGGTAAGGTGTTCCCCGCGGAGCAATTATATCATAGACAGTATAATTGAACACCGTAATCGGACCTAAACAACAAGCCATGAGCCAAACACACCCCATCTACTCGACCCATCAACTCAATCCCAATTGCAGACTCACCGGTAACACCAACAATGACCAAAGGCTGGGCCGCGAAAAGGGAAAACACAATCGCCCCCAACACAGAAGCCAAGAGCACCTCATTCACACCATAGCTCTGATCCGTCTTCTCAAACATATCCAAAGAGAAGGCCAGAGCCGGCAGAATACTATGGAACCCCGATTAACACCAAGACCAAGACCACCATGGACAACAACCATAGTGGTAGCAGCAACTTACTTCGCAAAGTACATATACACCGTGGCCGGAACGACGCGATAATCCCACGCATCCGTCCAATCGCTCCAATAGTACGGCGCCCTCCTCTTAACATCCAGAATCATACCCCGAAAGAGCCTAACGCGCCACCATTTCGCGGTGCGTGCCGAGGACGCTCCGCCGGTCGATGGTGCATGCCGTGACTGCTCTCGGGCGATAGTAGAAGAATCCTGGGACGGATGAGACTGGGATCTTCCCCCTCCAGACCGCGACTGCCAAAGTCTCCGCTGAGCGTGAGACGACGACGGGAGAGGCGGGGCATTTGAATGGAAAGTGGGCCCGGAGATTGGTAAATCTCCTCCTGGTTGACTGGATTCTTGCATGTTGCACGGCGGTACCTTAGGGTACACTGTACGGTTGAGTTGACAAATGAGTGAGTGGTACGAAAAGATTTACGAAGAGAATAGCTGTCTGCTTGGAAGTGCGAATGGGGAGGTCGACGATTTTGAGCTCCTAGAGAGAGCGCAGGTTAATTAGAGGAATTGCATTCCTCGATCAGGGCAAAATAACCAGGATGTCAAGATGGGATGTGAAGGAGGAAATGAAGGAGACAAAAGGTCGAAAGACGGTGGGGACCGCAGAGGCCTGAGGCCCCCATGGATGGGCGCCTAGCCAATCAGGCAACCGATAGCTCGGTCGGTCCTGGTTCCCCCGGATTTGACATGCAAAGGATCGCTTAATTGCAGGCCAGCAACATGCCAGTCCCAATGCAAAGGCCCGGCAAACGGCGGTCGAAATATCACTGGTGGAACTCGAGCAGTGAGACGTATCATTTAATGGGTGCATACATGCATGCATGCATGATGCCGACCAGCCAATTAACCAAGATGCGCAGAAGCAAACTACAGATATGAACCCTCGAGGGGCATGGATTAGACTTGAAATTCTTTTCGAAGAGACTGATCGATTGGCCAAGAAAACTAGAACGTGGACTATCGATTTAAACAAAGCAAAGACTGAGATTACAGAGCATTACGGGTTTCTTCCCCTTCGGCCTTCCACCGTTCCTTTCTTCTAATCAAGTTGGTTATGACTTTTGATCGGCAATAATTTTCAGAATCCCGTTTCGTAGCAAAAGCAAAATACACGAGAGTCGCGCGTTTAAGCAGGGGGAGGGGGAGGGGGAGGCTGGTCGCTGGGCGGCTGTGTGCAGAGTTAGTAAATAATCTGGCGGATTTCGATGGATATCAAACACATACCGGAGGTGGGGGTCCCTCGCCCGGAGGCGGCGGCGGAGGGCTTCCACCAGAGCCATAATACATCGACGGCATGCCTGGGGGAGGAGGCGGCACACCGAGACCAGGAGGCGCACCCGGGGGAGCTCCCATTCCGGGCACCGGCGGAGCATAGCCGCCATAACCACCGTACCCATACGATGGCTGTCCTCCAGGAGGCGGCGGGGGAGCTTGTTGCTGCCATGGGGCAGCTCCAGGCGGAGCCCCGTAGCCACCCTGGCCACCCTGGCCACCGTATCCGTAATCGCCTCCTCCGCGGCCCTGGGCCCATGGGGGTGCAGCACTTCCCTGGTCTCGCGGTCCATAGTCGTCGCGACGGTTGTCCCGGCCTCTCTGCTGCCAGGGAGCGACATCGCTGGGTGGCGGGCCTCGTTGCTGCCAAGGCTTCATATCGCGGTCGTCGTAGCCCTGATCAGGGCCAGCTTCGATGCGATGAGGCACGTGGCCATCTTCACCCGGCGCACCTCCCGACAGTTCTTGCATAAGTTGCTGTATTTTAAGTTAGAGAGGATACATAGAAGATTCCAAAATAGCAAGGTAACTTACGTCCATCTCACGATCGACAGCATCGCCTCCACCGATGGCTCTACGGCCGCCGCCGAAGCCAGCGTTGTTACGCCAGTCGCTGCCTCTCTGGCGATCAGGACAATCACGAGCCATGTGACCAGCATTGCCACAAACGCGGCAAATGATGTTGGCAGTGAAATTGCGCTGTTCGGGACAGTCGTACTTGCGATGTCCAATTTGACCACCTAGTGAAATGCCTGTTAGATTCCTTCTTGAATGATAGCGTATGAAGTCACGGTACTTACAGTTCTGGCAAGCCTGGTTTTCATCGTCACGGAGAGTACCGTTAAGAGCAGCCAGCTCACGAAGCTGGTTTCTCTTCAGCTCGTTCTGGCCTTCGGGAATCGAAGCGGCCTAGTCGACAGTCATCAGTAAGGTTTCTTTATAAGATATAAAACAGTGGGCGACAAATGACTTACAGTCTCGATGACGTTGTGCACCAGTTTCTTCGCCTTGTTAACCTTTTCTTCAGTGTCTGCCATGATCAAACAATGAAGATCTTCTTCCTGGTTGCTAGCGTGAGCGGCATCAGAGCGACCCTTTCCTTCCTTGACGGAGCCTTTGCCTCGGATAGCAATCTTGGCGCCAGATTCGGTCTCCATTTTCTTCAGGGTGTTTCCACGGGGTCCTATGAGTAAGCCAACTTTGAAAGGTAGCAAAAAGCTATGGTTAGTTCATGCTGGTTTTCTTTTGAGTAATGGAACGAGAGGTAGCAAAAGGTCATCAAGCAAGTCAAGGGTTAGCAAGAAGCGAGCCGAAAAGGCATCGACGGAACGATGTCTTTCCCATAAGCTCGACTCGAGCATAGAAAGCAGAGTCATGGAAATACAGAATAGAGGGACGGTTAGGAGTTAGAGGGTTAGTTATCATACTGAAGTTAATCTCTGGATAGTCATTCACTGGGACGTAGACCTTCTCCTGGGTCTTGGTAGGCCGCCTGTAGTCAGAGGGCGGGTGGTAGTTAGGAATGGTCTTCATGGCCTTTTCCACGAGCTTGTGGCGCTCATCCTCCAGGCGTTTCCGGTAACGATATTCTCTAGTATTTACACGTCTGCCAAAGTTATCGTACTGGGGCGGAGGCGACGGGGATCTGTAGGAAGAAGACTCGTCAGTAGGGCGATCACTCGATAAAGAGACAACAAAACACCATAAACAAGAGAAGAACAAAGAAGGGCCAGAGAAGAGGCCACTCACCTGTCACCATCCGCAGGAACAACATCGTTGATACGAAGTTTCTGGCTAATTTCCTCTATCCGCAGATGCAGAGTATACGCCTCCAGCTGTTCGTTGGTGAAGTTGGCCATAATCATCGTGGGCAAGCCCATGAGACCGGCGGCTTTGTTCTCCTGCGCATCGCCCCAACGGTTGCGCTTCTTGCGCCTTTTCGTACCGTCAGAAGGGGGTTCGGCTGGGTGGGGTGTCAGTAAGGTATCTTTAGCAAGTCGAGTCTGGAGGAGACAGGGGGGCATACCGCGAACAGGACTTCTACCGCGCTTGTACCCGATGTCCGCAGACGATGGAGTTGCAGTGCGACTGTCATCCTCACCAGGATCGTCTCCTCCGAATCGTCTGCGCCCCAACGGGATGTTGTTGGAACCGGTGATTCCTTGATTACGCCAGGCCATGAGTCCTGAGTATTCAGCTGTCCTGGTAGCAAGGTTAATATGATTTGGTGAGCAACTAAGATCGAGATGGTTCTTTGAACCCAGATGAATGTGGGTTTCAAAAAAAGGCTTCTGGACTGAAGCTTCCGCGATGTGGCAAGCTCTGGGATCACGTGGGATTACTAATACTGATGCCTCAGTGCGGTGCCTGAACAAATAATTTACCAGGCGGTTCCCGGAATAACTACTGTGAGAACAAAAGAAAAGCAAAAATAACGTCATTACGACTCTCGTTGAAAGATTACCAACAATCAAGTTTCAATCACACTAAAACTAAATACTCATACTATCAAGGCATAATACATCACGGCATGAATGTTAATCGGTGGACTTTACAAGAGCAAGACAAAGTGTCCCTTAATGCTTGGCATCGGCCTTCATGCTATCCTGGATCCAAGCCCGAGATTCAGCCGCCTTCTTCTCCATTTCCGCCTTGTTCTTCAAGAGATCCTTGACGGTGTGAGGCGAAGGCACATGGCGACCCTTCTCGACGCCCTCCCGGGCGGCCAGGCGCTCTTCCCACGCCTTCAAGTGGGGGAACTCATCGATGTCCACGCCCGCCCAGCCAGCGGCCGCAACCCACCCCCAGTGCGAGATGTCGGCAATGGTAATGTGGTCGCCAACCAAGAAACCGGACTTGGAGGTCGAGAGGTGCTGATCCAGCACGCTGTACAGTCGGCGGGTCTCGTTGACGTACCGGTTCACGCCGTACTCGATGCGCTCGGGGGCGTAGCGCGAGAAGTGGTTGGCCTGGCCCTGCATGGGACCGACACCGGCGTTCTGGAAGTATAGCCAGCTAATGGTCTCGTAGTATTCGCGGGTGCCCTTGGGGTAGGAGATCTTGTGGTCCTTGTCATACTGTTCCGCCAGGTAGGTCAGGATGCTGCCAGATTCGAACAGGCGGATTTTCTCGCCATCGGTGAAGGTGTCGGTCAAAGCGGGGATACGGCCGTTGGGGTTAATCTCGAGGAACCATCTGCCTGGCGTTAGAAATAGAACGGAGGGTGGGGAGCTGTCGTTCTACGCACGGTTCTTTCTGAGTGTTCTTGGAGATATCAATCTTCTCCACCTTGTAGGGCAGTCTAACGAGGACAATTAATTAGCCTTCAGGTTTTGGTGTCACAAGCGAGGGAGTGTCCCACGTACCCCAGTTCCTCCAGCGCAATGGAGATCTTGATCCCGTTGGGAGTCTGGGAGGTGTAGAGCGTGAGATCCGGGCGACTCATGGTGGAGTAGTGCTGGTACTGGTAGTGATAGAGCGGAGACCAATTGGACAGACGACGAGAGCAACGAAGGGAGTTGGGGTTGAAGGACGAAGACAGTCCAGGGAATCGGCAGTAATTATACGCAGCCGTCACTTTGAAGACCCCGCTCATCTCCGCCGGTGGATGATTAATTCATGGAATGATGCCATCCACTAGACATAGAGAACCGTCCAGCAACTTAACGCCCCACCATGATTTCTAAGCCATTACTCCGTAGTTAAGCGTGGCAATGATTAACCCGTCTGTCAGTGTGAGATGAACTTCAATGGGATCCAGTAATCTACAGTAATCATGCAAGTCCTCATCGTTCGGCAGACCCTCTGGTGAATGTCCTGTTTGGTCGGTCGCCCGATGGTTGCACCGTAGCGCGAGACTGTAATCCAACCATTCTTCAACAGTCATCAACGATATGCTCCGATAATCCGTAGCTGGAAGGTGCTAAGAAATAATAAACGGGCCTATGAGCAGTCACTGTCAGGCTAGACATGGGGGATCTCCGTCAGGAAGACTGCGCCGACCGTCCCCGCCCGAGCCGGACGAACGGCCAGGCGTCTTTCAATAAATTATCGATGTATGCAAAAGACCGTAGCTAACCAAAAACGAAAGTAGATATATATGTACCAAAGAACCTAATTGAACTCGCTTCCATCTGCAATCTAAAAACCCTTCATCTCGGCGCAGGGAGGGCGGAAGTGCCACAATGGGGGCCGAAGGAGACGAACTCCCAACGCAGCTTAAAAAGTGAACGCTGCCCCGTTCCAACAGTGCACCGGTCGATCACCAGGTGAAACTCTCCTCGACGAAGTCGATGTCTGTGGGACCTTGTCTCTTACGGCAGACTCCTCGGACATCGTCACTCAGAGCACCGCCACCACAGACCAACACGCCCATCGCTCCCACTTGGTTCTCCGCCTCCATGCCGATCAGAGTGTCAATGTTGGGCCGTCCAGGGAACATCTGCACGGTGGCACTCGGGCTTTGGATCTCCTTGGTGTTACGCGGACGCGTAATGAACAGCATGATACGCAAGACGTCCCGGCGGCGCTCCATGGCCAGGATGCTGGTCATCCAAGGACGGATCCACTCAAGGTGCTCAGGTGATTGAATGATCCAGACCAGGGTGACACGACGAGCGGCGACCGTGCCGTCAGCGTGACCTTGGACCAGATGACGCACAAACGGGACTTGGTGGGTGATACCGACACCACCCGCAAAAAGAAGGACGCTGCCGTAGGAGTCCATGGAATGAATGGCCCCGTACGGTCCCTCAGCCCAGGCCTTCAAGGTCACCCGAGACCCCACAGAGCTCACGGCACGCTGGAAGAGCTTGTTGGTGAAGCCGGTACGGCGACGAACCAAGAGGGAAAGGGTCGTCTTCTCGGTGCCGAGGGTTTCCTGTCGAGTCATGGGGATTCCCTTCTCATCGGTGAAGACCTCCTCCGACTCACTCCAACCGACCGAGAAGGGATGCGACATCCACCATCCAATGGAAGGAATATACAGGTAGATGTGCTGACCCGGCTTGAAGGTCCAGGGGCGAGCCATCTTCAGCGTGATTCTCAAAGCGTCGCCCGGGAGAGCCTCGACCAAAGCGGTGGTCGAGCGTCTTCCAACGTTGCGGTACAGAACAATGACAAGACGTGCGAAACGCTGAATCTCGTGGTTAATTTCCATTGCCAGTCTTCAATGCATCAAACGAAAAGGATTTCACATACCTCGAGCGCCCAGAAGACGATGGCCACCAGCAAATACTTCTGAGCTTCAAGTCCTTCCAAGTGAACCCAGAGGCCGACGAATGAGAGAACAGCAAAGATGATGTGGAGATGAATGAAAGTCTCATAGAACGCATGTCGAAGGGGCGAGACAGAGTGCAGCATGAGCGCAACGAAAGCGCAGGTGGCCTGGAAGCAAAAGTTAGTCGCATAACTCATCGACACCCACTTCTCTACCGTCAAGAACTTACGAGCATTCCGTAGATGAAGAAGTCGCTCTTTCCAAGCACCATTCCCACAACATCCCAGCCGGCTATAAGATAATCAGTATCGGGAAACCAATCACGACCAACGAGAGGGGGATGCTCTTTCAAACATACCGTCTTGAGCCTTGGGAATGCACCAAGCCAACACATGGGCCAGAGTCTCGAAGACAACGATCCGAGCGAGCCAGCGGTGGATCAGATTGAAAGTGTCGAACGGGACGTGCAGAAGGGAGATCAAGGGGTTGTTTCTCCCAGCCAGCAAGACGAGAGGAACCAAGTTCACGGTGGCCATGGTGCCGGTACGGTTTCGGATGATACCAGCAACGCTATCTTCCTCGGTCTTGTACGGCACGGTAACAACACAGAGCGTCACGTTCATGGCGATGATACCGACAAGGATGAAGGCGTGGAACCGACTGGGAAGGGTACCCATGTTGACGGCCCGAGACAGCTGCATTTCCCGGTTGTGACGGTTCCGGAACAACGGAGCGTAGACAACATGGTTCTTGATTTTAGAGAACGTCCCAGAAGGCGTCATGAAAAAACGTTGATGTCCATTGTTGAAGCTTGCCAACTGTCTCAGGTGGGCGGAGATGCGGAACCATGCTCTCCAGGCAAAAACGATGATAGCCATCAGGCAAAAGGTCGTCAAGGTGTACCGGGCGAGGTCATCGTTAAGGATCTCATAGAACGGATCCCAGTCGCCGCCACGCTTTTCGATTTGAGCCGTTGCGGAAGCGAGTCCAACCAGGGACAAGCCGAAGAGAAGAGTACTCATGATGATCAGAGTTTTGCAAAAAGAATATACGAAAGCAAGTGAAAGATAGAATAAAGAATGACGAGTGCAATGCCCCTAGAAGCAGCGGGCAAGACCAGATATTGCGTGCGAGACCAGCTCTGCCAACTTAAAATCCGATAAAGAAATCACGGAACGACCTGGGGAACCAGTTGTACAAGGTCACCAATACAATCACTGGCGCACAAAACTGCGAATCGGCAAGTGAATTTTAAATAGGCGATATTCGAAAGTGCAGGTATGCTTGCGAAAACCAGGGCTTTGTCCTGAGTCTTTGTTTCGATTGTCGCTTTCTTAGCTTGTCGGTTTGTCGCGATAGCAAGAACTCCAAACAATCTACAATGGGAACCAAGAAAACGACCCAGTCGATTTACTTGATTGTCAAAGAAAGGGAGAACGATGCAATTGTGCTGGGAGGAACCTCGACCAAAGCGAATCCTCGGACTGAAATTGCAGGGAGGTTGACGGGCAACGAAAAGGAATGTGATTCGGTGATCCAGTCACTTCTTCGGTCGGCGGCTACCAAGGAACGAAGGCGAACAGGTGCCAAGAAGCAAAGGGAGAACAGGTCGCACGGGAGGGGGGGGATATTGAAACTTCAAAAGGGAAAGAAGGTCGGACAAGAAAAGGAAAGGGAAAAAGAGAAGGAAGGAAAAGGGAAGAAAAGAAAAGATTCAGCACAGATCGTTCTGCTCTTTTTTTTTCGCGCCCAGAGGCGGGGGGTGGGCGCTTGGTGAAGAGGGAAAACAGACAGGCCCACCAAGAACAACGGACAATTCTAGAGTCTGGACGGTCTCCTCAACTCATCCTACTCCGTAAGCTAAGTCTAACAGTAGCAGACTGGAACTGCAGGGAGAAGTTGACTCGAGTCGACAGGACGGGGAAAGGAATCCGCCAGTCCCGGCCAGCCGCCAGGCACAATATTCTCCTGTCATCGACTCATCAGATCGAACCCCTAGTGTGGCTCCTGCAAAATGGATCCATCAGCAGGCGTTCCACAGTTCAGGCGAAAATCAAGAAGCAATTGCTCAATTGCCTAATTCACTGCGGTGGCGGCGAGGCCAAAATGGAGTGATGGATGCTGAATGGCCCGAAGATGAAACACTTGAAGAGGGGGGGACGATCAGATCTGGATTGACGCCCTTACATGAGCGAATCAACGGGACTGACGACGGGTGGAGCTAGAGATCGCTGTTTGAGAAGACGGGCGAGGTTGGCTGGCGGTGCAAGACACCACCGGGCAAGAAGAGTCTATCAGTCTCCCTGCGTTGGGATCATCGTCATCAGCATCAGCATCATCATCATTATCGCAACGGATCGTCGTGATGCAGGGTCAGATGCAGGTGTGATTTTCGGTTGCCAGTCAGCCCGGATGGGAGAGCAGAAGAATGAAGGCAAATCCCAAAATCAGAAAAAAGGGAAAATGCAAAAGCCAAGAAAGAGGCGGGCGGAGGGCAAAGGATGGAATGGATGGATTCCTCAGGAAGGAACGATGACTGAGCGATGTATAATCGGTCTTGGCGCACCGCATTAATTAAAATTTAATCTAGCAAGGGAATGTGTCCACATGGCGTTATGCTGGCCTCCCTTGGCGCCTCTGGTGATATTCTTAATTTTTCGAACTAACTGCGAAATAGTCTAAACAAGTCAACGATATAAATTGCAGCGTTGATCCAGATTGAAACATTTAATATCCTCCCCGGCGTTTGCCTGACTGCCACTACTATCCGTCGCTCTAGCGCCGAAGAGTCCGGAGAAATAACCACTCTCGAATTACTATGGTTCGGTTATTAAAAATGGTCGACCTCACGGACTTCCTTCTCCATTCTCTTCTTAATCTCCGCCTGATCTCGTCGTTGACTGGTCGTCGAGAATGCCCTTATCCGTCCGTGAGTAGCACCAAGGAATCTAACGGTCCCAATTAGAAACATCGCCCCTGGATATCCCGAAGTATAGACGGAGTAACCCTGGGACGCACGGGAGACTCCGTGCCAGCCTTTAGTCGACTGGTAGCACTGGTAGCACATAGTCGCTGGGACCTGTCACATCGCCCCCGCCCCAGAATCATTCGATTTGCAAAAAATGCGCTCAAAACAACACAGGCCAGAGGAATGGATCCTCCCCTGCCTTCTCAATGGTTCTTGTTTATTCATGACAAACCGCTCCCCACAAAAAAAGCTATTTTAAAACCCCAAACACAATAAATTAAATGAAATGTGAAAGTAAAGGAAAAGAGAGAAAAAAAAGCAAATAAGCCAACAGTCCAAAACAGACCCCATCGCACCAACTGCCCTTGGGTATCAATCATCGTCAAAATAAAGACAATCCAACAAACCCCTATTTCAGAACTCCGGCAAATCCCACCGCAACCCAAGAAAATCTAGAAAAAAAAAAAGAAACTGAGCGAAAACTACCAAGAAAGAAAGGGTTGGCTTCCGGCACCACGGAGATTAAAAGGGCCAAAAAAGCCACGAGATGTGGCAGGGATTCCCATCCAGTGGAGTGAGCCGCCCCATAACTAGTTATAGAAAACTCAACTCGTCCTCGCTATCGTCCTGGGTAGGACGAGGTACCACCCTACGAAGAGGTAGGCTGCGTGGTACCGTAGACGCCTTGAAGGAATTCTCGACCTCTAATTTGGTGCCGGGAAGAGACATCCTAGCACGCGCCGAACGGGTACGCAGACGAAGGGGCTCGGGGGAATACTGAACTGTTGGTCCGCTCGACAGAAGATCGCTTTTTTTGTTGATAATGACCACCTCGATCTTAGTTGGACTTCCCTCTGGACGGATCCCCCGCACCGGCCGATTCTTTGCATGTACCAATTCCTTCAAGGCACGGGCGGTTCTGGTGCGAGCGGCTATCGGGGTGCGATCTGACTCAGATAAACATGTAGACAAGAGGCCCGCGGGAAGAAGGGGCGCATCCTGTGCCGGTGTTGCATATCCTTCCCGAGGGGTCGATCGAAGCCTTTTCGGTGATCTTGGATTGCTGGGGCCTGCTGGGGCGCATGTCCGCTTGGCGGTGATAGATGGCGCCGATGACGTTATGCTTGAAGCAGCGTTTCGGGAGTTGGTAGAGCTGGGAGAGGTACTACTGGTGGAACCTGGTATAGTCGGCGGCTGCTGCGACCGTGTCTCGACACATTTTGACCTCAAGTCCACCTGTGTTTTGGGTTTGGGCGCCGGAGTGCTCGCCACCCATTCGCCAATGCCATCCTCCCATCGATATAATCCAGTGCTATCTGCGCGTCTGGATGTTTCATGTTGGACTGTCTTCGGGCCGCGCTCTGTTGTAAGGACCTGCTCTTGAACCTCCATGGCCCAGATGTGGTCATCCGGATCCAGTGTCGTCTCCGCTAGCCCCATCGCCGTTTCTGCCGCTACCTTGCCCAACAGTAGAGACACGCCGTTTCCATTCGTCAACTGAGCTAGCTGAGAAACTCTGGAACGGACCTCAATTGATGTCCGAGACTTGTCGCCCTTGCGCACTTGCCCGCAGCAGTGAAACACCTGCCGCACAATCTCCGCCAACTCTTTGACCGTGTCATCTTGAGCAGCCAATGACTGAGAGAATGATTCGAAACTTCGTCTTGAGATTGAGGCACGGTCGCTGATGACCTTCGAGGACTCTTCACCGCAGCGCAGCATGTAGTCGCCGAGTAGAACACATGCCCGACGGAGGGATCGATACGTCGGTCCGTGAGCTCCTTGCGGCAGCGGTTTCATCTCAATCTCTCGTTGAATGGCGAAAGCCAATGATCCGACTATGTCACGAACTTTCGCGCCGATGACCTTTTCACTGGCGCTGGAGGATTGCAATCGCGCGATACACATCCCACAGAGCGCAGTCACGAGGCTTGAGACAAGATTGCTCAACGCATCTTGGATGGGAATAGGGCACGGCGTCTGGTCGGTGGGTATCGTTGTCACATTCGTCGTCGAAGCCCGTGTGCCTCTAAAGCGCTCCCGACGTGGAGTACATTCACTGTCCATCGTAAAAAGCCGCGCATCAGTCGCGGGGTAGATTGCACCAGCCGAAAGGATAACGGCTTGTAGCAGTCGAGTAGCAGCCGCAGAGTCCCCATCCTCGGTGGATAAGGATTTGATTGCCCCGTCTATACATTTTTTCCAAGGGATGGTGACCATCCACTCGGGAGGTAGCACCCGACGGAGAAGAAGTTTAGATAACTCATAAAAAACAAATGATCGCCTCTCTATCGACCGTCCGTAGTAAGTGCATAGGGTATAAACCGGGTCATCACAAAGGCCCGAAGGCTTGGGTAAATCAAAAACGACCGGGTATTCATATTTTCCAAGGGTCACCAGAACTTTAGACATGAGTGATTCAAAAGCATCAAGTTCACCCTGCATCATGCACTCCTCCATTAGTCGACAAGCAGCCAATCTGGTGATCCATCCTTTCTGTATCATCTCAGAGACAAGGTGAATCCCCCGAGCGCGCACAGCTTCGCGGAGTGGCCGCCATCCTGATCCCATCGGAGCATAATGTGCTTCTAATTCTGTGAAGTATGCATCGCACATATCAACATCACCATCTTCCTCCAACTCGTCCTGTAATCTCTGCTCCTCTGCAATAAAAACCGGGAGACGCCGCACGGCCATTGACAACAATGACCGAGTCCGCCGCGGTTGATCATTCACTTGAGTTCTATTCAAAAGTTTAATAAATGCGCGGTCTAGATAATGCGCTATATCGACAAATCGCGCATCTCCGGATAGATCGAGAACCTGTTTCCACGAGCCCTGGTAGGCCGGAAAATTGGAGTGACTTGTTCGTGTCGGCTTGCGGGTCTCCGTCGGCGCAGCCAGGCCTGTAGGGGGTACCACGTTTCGAAATAATTGTTTTCTGAAAGATGATGGTTCCGACGGCCCCCGTGCTCTACCGGTGATCAAAGGTGTCGCAATCTCGATCGCGCCAGGCAGAGTTTTTGGTAATTCGGGGCTGCGAATTGACAATCGATTGCGCCGGCGAGGCGCATTTCCTCGTTGTCCCCGGTTCGAATAATTATGCCGTAATCGTCGTTTTTCTGGTTTCCCGGGAATCCAGGACGGGTCGCTCGGATCCTCATCCGAATAAGAGCAGCCTTGTTCAACTCCGGAAGACTGTGACGGTAGCTGTGTAAAATTTGCCTCGCGAGATTCGGATCTTTCTTTGAGTTTCGCATCTGCGACGCTGGTCTGGATCTCGTGGTGTTTCTCTAGGCGATGATAGATGGAGGTCAAGGGGCGCAGCATGCGATTAGCCCATTTTGCGGTCGGTTGAATGTCTTCCATATCGCGAGAAGAATTCCAATCTGCCAAAAAGGATATATCCAACTGATCCTGTCATTCGGAAGGATGTTCGTCTTCAGGAGGGCGGCTGAAGCACTGGAATCGCGTTGTTTACGGTCGGTCAAAGAAGTCCCATGTTACTGTCGGTTTGCGAAACGGCAGCTCATGGGCAATACGGGGCCTCAAAGAGAAAAAGAAGATATGCGCTCAATTATGATATATTCAGTAGAATAAAATGTGAAGAAGATGGCAACAATAGGCCATAAGATACTGCTATTGTAAGACAACAAGAAGGATGAGGTTGCGATGGGGCCTCCGTGAAAGACAATAAACATTGAATACTGCCGGAAGCGGTCAGAGTGACGGAACAGCATTCCTCCGAAGTATCTCCGACTCTTTGCGCCTTGGACTTCAGGCAACGACCAGAATTACTTTTGCTGCAGTTGATTCCAATGAAGATTCATTCATGTGTTCGTCATTGATGCATGCTTCAAATAGCTGAAGGTCATATATATAATACATAGCTTATTCCAAAGCACTATAGCATGCAAATCACCCGACCTTGCTATGCACTTCCCGCGATAAACATTCCCTGTTGGAAAGAAAGGCCAAAATCCCATAAAGAAATAAGAGTAGAGAGGTTTCTACAGCACATGAAAAATGAAAAAAGGAGAAGGGGAAAAGAAAAAAGAAACAACATAATAAAAGAAATAAGAATAAAATAATAAACACCCCGCTCATCCGACATGGAAACCCCTGGTTTTCAGTATAGCATCTAGCCGTCACACATATAAGACACGAGCGTGAATTTTTGTTTTTATATTACCCAAGAAAGGAAAGAGATGAGGTGAGATTTTAAGCCGACGACTTCTTCGATCCCCGGAGCTTAGG